TCTGTGTTTATTCATTCAGTTGAACTTTTATCAAATAAGTACAATGCCAAACTAAATATAGTAAATGTGTGCTCACAGCCCTGAGCCCATAATAGCAACTTTCCTAAAACTGGAGAAGGTTCCTCACATTCCACAAACCTCATATTATTATTATTATTATTATTGTTGTTATTATTATTATTTGATATTTTTATATTTTTAAGAGGGTTAAAATAATACAACAGTATTTACATGTAAGTGGTTAAAGATGGATACTTCCAAGAGGTCTATACATCTTAAAGCTGCTGTGACTGTAACAGTGGATTTGTAAACAAAAGTGACCAGAAGTTCATACAAAAATTTTCACCCCAACTACCATTTTTAATTTAGGAGTTTTAAGAGTTCATGTATTTCAACAACCAGCAGAAACTATGATTGACAGTCATAACAGTAAGTGCGATAAAATTTACCATTTTAATTACATTTAGTTTTGTGTAGTTTTTACCGTGAGTTTCATTTTTCTTGAGAAAATGTAATGTATCTTTTGCTTTAAAATTGGAAATGTGAATGACAATTTCTCTATCAGTGAAGCAAACATATTTTACTTTTTTAGAATGCAGTTTCTTTGCCATTTACTTAGAGATTTTTATGCACAAAAATATATTAGCATTTAAAAGGATTAAAATTGGATATCTATCTAGAAATATATATCATCAACCTCACATTTAAAATTAAGGTATCTATTCATCTAGTTGTGTAGTCATACTTCTTTGATTCCCAAAAGAATGACAGGGCTGAAAGATTACTCAGTAAGATGATGCCTGAGAGATTAGAAAGAGGGTTAAAGAAAGATAGCAGATGGCCAGCAGAAATCTTTCTCCTATCTCAATTTGATCTAATTCAGTCACTGAATGTATCTCCAGTTCCCTTAGTGTGTTCCATCAGGAAAACCATTAGCCTAGTTTAGTTCTTCCTTATGTTGGTACTGTATCCCTGAGGCCTTAACTATATTCTCTACTAGATCATCAGAACTGACCCTGTCTCACATCAGTAGAGCAACACATTAGTATTCACAATAAAGTGAGTCGACATACAAGTAAATTGGGGTCTCCAAAGAAAACTTCATAATTCACTGTTGTAGCGAAATTCTAACCTGGAGACTTATTTTAAAATAAAAATATTTGACTCCTACTAATGTAATTGGCAATGCCTTAAAACAATCTGTGAAAAAGTTATTAACACAAACTCAGAATCAAAACAGACCATGTCCTCTGGATTGATTGTCTTCCACATAGATGCTGTCAATGCAGAAATTGCATCAACAGAATTTTGCTGGAAGATAGAGCAGAGAACACAGTCTCTCTTCATCCGCTGAAGGTGATAAACAAAAGCAGGAAAGTTGATCCTCTTTGAAAGCAAAAGAAAACATTCAGCAACAGATTCTCACATAGAAAAAAAAATTGGAATCCAATAATTATTTAATCAAAATTCCACATTTTTAAGATTTAAAAAGTGAACATTCTGGTAACATAGCCTCAATTTCTTAGCCAGTTCAGGACAAAATGAGCTTTTTTTAAAATAACCTGATTTGGAGTTACATTGGTTAATAAAATTATATAGGTTTTAAGTGTACAATTCTATGATACATCATCTGTATATTGCATTATGTGCCTCAAAATCAATATCAAAGTACTTTGAATTATAAGTCCAAACGAAAGAAAAACAGCTTCGTAAGTGTCTGGAAAACATGCCTGGACAAATTCATTTGGAAACATTGAACAGTTGATAACATATCTGGGACTACATTAGTTGTATGTGAAAAAGACACACATTTAATATCCCCACAAATGAGTATGCCTTCTTATGTGTTAAAATAGTAGCAAGCATTGTTTTCCATGGGAACCCAGTGACAAGGATTACAGCTAACAGCTATCAGACCTGCAGGAAACTTCCCAGAGGATTTAAGAGGAAGTTGAAAACCAATGGAAGAATAGAAGTTATTCAGGTGAGCTGAAGACAGAACATATGTTCTGTGAGAAATGTTTACTAAAATACCTGTCACATAAAATGGGCTTGATAAATATAGTCCATTACTTTTATTGAAAGGAAATATTAACAGGAAGAGAAGGAAGAGGGATAGAGAAGATCATCAGTTTTATTTTTGACAATGGATTTGAAGTCCATGTTTAATGTTCAAATAGATATGTCAGGTTCATCTGAAAATCAGGAAGGACTATTACAAAATAAAGATACTGATCCTATATAATAAAAGCCTAATATGCTAAGTGTCCAACCATTTGTTTGACCATTCAACCAGTCGCTATGATGCGCACTGGCCACCAGGGGACAGATGTTCTGACTGTTAGGTTAGCTTGCTGCTGGGGTCCAGCCGATCAGGACTGAGAGAGATGAGCATGACATGCACTGGAGCCCTCATGCAGTCCCTCTTCAGCCCCGACTGCCCTGGTGGGGTCCCTCAGCCTGGTCTGCACTCTCTCATAATCTGGGACCCCTCGGGGGATGTCCAAGAGCTGGTTTTGGCCTGATCCCCGCAGGTCAGGCTGAGGGACCCCTACCGGTATGCGAATCTGGGCACCGGACCTCTAGTTTAGTAATAATCACCTGTAAGATGATAGTTCAAAACACAGGAATTAATGAAAACACATAAAAAATATAAATATGGTGAAAGTGAAAAGAGATGAAGAAAAAAACAGATAAAAAGGTCAGAGAAATATACCATCTTTGAAGTTTATCAGAGCACTTTGTAAAAGTATAAATGTATACTGTGCATAAATATAAGTATATTGTGTATTAAGATAGTTTATATTCTGCACCACTGTGAATTATGCGTGATTACTTAGGGACAGAAAAACCATAGAAGGAGGCAGTGTCAGGAGAAGAGCTGAAAAAATGTGTATGTGAGTGTGTGTGTGTGTGTGTGTGTGTGTGTACGTGTAGGCATGATAGAGTTTAGAGGTGTTCAGGAGAGAAACACACAAGTATGCAGTAAACAAAAATAGAAAACAAAATTCTTTAATCATAGAGCTGGAACAGAGACTTCAAGTGACTACAGAGAGTGCATAGAGAGCCCAAGTTATCTGACTAATATTGATACGTTAGGGAACAAAGCATCAAGCAAATACATCAAACAGAATTCTTGAAAGTCAAGATATTTTGCTCCTATTAAATGACAGACCCATAGGTGTGAATAGTAGTCCTTTTCAAAGTAGCATTTAAATTGTAAATATTTTTAAATAATTTTTAAAGCTGAATATGATAGGTTTCATACTTTTAAATAATCTATAATAAGATGTCTCAATGTCACATGCAGATATAACTGAAGCCAAGAATCAGCAATGGGAAACCGCACTGTAACAACATTCATTCTGCTGGGCCTGACAAGTGACCTTCAGCTGCAGGTTCTGATTTTTGTCTTTTTCTTTCTCACCTACATGCTGAGCATAACTGGGAACCTGGTTATCATCTCCCTCATCTTACTCGATTCGCATCTTAAAACAGCCATGTACTATTTCCTACAAAATTTCTCCCTCTTGGAGATCTCGTTCACATCTGCTTGCATCCCCAGATACCTGTATAGCATAGCCACAGGGGACAAGCTCATGACCTACAATGCCTGTGTCAGCCAAGTGTTTTTTACCGACCTCTTCGGTGTAACGGAATTTTTCCTCCTGGCGGCCATGTCCTATGACCGCTACGTGGCCATCTGCAAGCCCCTGCACTATGTGACCATCATGAGCAGCACAGTCTGCAGGAGACTTGTCTTCTGCTGTTGGGTGGCTGGTCTGTTCATTATCATCCCCCCGCTGAGTCTGGGCCTAAATCTGGAATTCTGTGATTCTAATGTCATTGATCATTTTATCTGCGATGCAGCTCCCCTCCTGAAAATTTCTTGTTCAAATACTTGGTACATGGAACAGACTGTCATGATTTGCGCTGTGCTGACCCTTCTAATGACACTCGTGTGTGTGGTACTGTCCTACATTTATATCATCAAGACCATTTTGAGATTCCCTTCTGTTCAGCAGAGGAAAAAGGCCTTTTCCACCTGTCTTTCCCACATGATTGTGGTCTCCATCAGCTATGGCAGCTGCATCTTCATCTACATCAAACCTTCAGCAAAGGAGTCAGTGGCTATTAACAAGGGTGTGACAGTGCTCACTACTTCCATCGCCCCACTGCTCAACCCTGTCATTTACACCTTGAGAAACAAGCAAGTCAAACAAGCCTTCAATAACTCAGTCAAAAGAATTGTGATATTTTCTAAGAAATAAGAGAATGTGAAGCCAAATAAACACCGATATAATGCACTTACCAAATTCCATACTCAGGTTCACTTATTCAAAACACTTATTCATCCTGATCTAGTGACATCTTCCTCACAACCTTCTTTTAAGATCCTTCTATACACAGGCATATTAATAGCTTCTTTATCTTTATTGTTGAAACTATTACAGATGTCCCCTTCCCCCACCACCGTTGACCCCCTCGACCCCGCTTCCGCCCGCTCCCCAGGGTCCCCAAGCCTCCTCCCCACTATTGTTTATCCATGGTCTATGCATATATGCATATACATTATTTGTTTAATCTCTTCCTATCCTTCCTCCCCACCCTTCCATCCCCCGCAAACAGGGTAGTCTGTTGCATGTTTCAATGTCTCTGGGTCTGTTTTGTTCATCAGTTTACTTTCTTTAAATTTAAATCCTGATTTTGCCTTCAAATTAGAAATACCTAATACAATAAAATAAAATAAAACGGAAGTATATCTCCAAATTAGGAATATAAAAAGAGAAATACATAGGTTAGTAGAGATTTACTTTTTCCAGCAAGAGAGTACATAACAGTGGCCATTGTTTCATCCAATCCAAACTTTCAAATGATTTATTCATTGATTCACTTAACAAATATGTATTTGGTAATTTCTTTGAAACAGCTACTGTTTTAAGCACTAAAAACAGAGAAGTATCAACCACCCAACAAAAACTTATTCTCCTACACCAGTGATGGCGAACCTGTTGAGCTCAGCGTGTCAACATTTTGAAAAACCCTAACTTAACTCTGGTGCCGTGTCACATATAGAAATTTTTTGATATTTGCAACCATAGTAAAACAAAGACATATTTTTGATATTTATTTTATATATTTAAATGCCATTAAACAAAGAAAAATCAACCAAAAAAATTAGTTCGTGTGTCATAGGTTCGCCATTACTGTCCTATACCCTCAAGGGTAAACGAAACCAATTCTATGTTAAATAAAACAAAATGGTTAACTTGCACTCAAATAAATGTTTTTTCATAAAAGGGGATATAAATCGCATAATGATGGAGAAAATATCTGAAGTACTAAAGCTTAAAAATTATAAGATTTGTGTCAGTATCAAATTGCTAATAACCAAAACTTTTAACTGTTATACCCTTTCCTCAAAAAATCCATAAAGTTAAAGGAAAGATATTGACAATAGATAATTACTATTTTGAGGAAATTAAATATTTTGGTATTACAAAAACTCTGCCAGATGTAGACACATATACAGAAATGCCAACACAGAATGTCACTCAAACAGAACAGTTTTTAAAAGGTTTATGGAAAGCTGTAATTAAAGTATTACATCTTTTCTTATATGTGAAAAGTTATACATGGGAAGGACACAAACTACCACATTTCTTCCAAAAAAAATAGAAGTTCATAGGTTATCATCTGTAACTATTTCCCCCATCTCACTACACTTGAGACTCCAGAAATTTGAACCTACATTTTCCCTCTGCTTTCACGTCTAGTCTTTTATATATTCTGTTTCTCTGTCGAAAATATTTTCCTCATTCTTTGTTGACTCACAGTTTTCTCCTTAAATTTTTTAATTTAGAAGGCACTTGGGTTATTTAAAAATTAAATATAAAGCTGCTATGTGAGCCAGCAACTCCACTTCTGGGTATTTATCTGAAAGAATTAAAATCAGGAAATTAAAAAGACATCTGCACTCCTATGTTCATTACAATACTATTCACAATAACTAAGATGTAGAAACAACCTAAACATCTATCGACTGGTTAATGGATAAAAAAAAAATGTAGTATAAACATAGAGCAGAATAGTATTCATACTTTAAAAGGCAAAAAATTTTGCTCTGGCCAGGTGGCTCAGTTGTTTGAATCATCGTCCCATATACCAAAAAGGTTGTGGGTTTGATTCCTGGTCAGAACACATACCTTGGTTCTGGGTTCTATCCCTGGTTGGTGTGCATATGGGAGACAACCAATCGATGTTTCTCTCTCACATGGTTGTTTCTCTCTCTATCTCCCTTCTTCTCTCTCTAAAAATCAATAAACATATCTTCAGGTGAGGATTTAAAAAATAAAGAAAAAGAAGGAAATTTTGCAACATGCAACAACATGGATGGACCTTAAAGACATCATGCTAAGTAAAATAAGCCAGACACAAGACAAGCACTTCATAAACCCACTTACATGAAGAATCTAAAAAGTCAAATTTATAAAATTAAAAACTAAGATGGTGGTTACCAGGTTCTGAGGGATGGAGAATAAACAAGCATATGTTTCAGTTAAGATGAATAAGAACTAAAGGTCTACTGTACCTTAAGTGAAAAATAATGTACAATTTTTAAGAGGAAACATCTCATTTCCAGTGTGAATTTTTTAAGAGGAAAGATGTGTTAAGTGTTCTTACCACAATAACTTTTTTCAAAACCACACACGCACTTTTTAAATAATAAAGAAACAAGCACATATAAATACAATTTTACGGAAATGCCAAAATCTAGCTTGATGCTAGTTAATTTGCCTACATTTGATTACCAAAAGGTTGTGGGTTCAATTCTCAGTCAGAGCACATAGCTCGGTTGCGGGTTCTATCCCCGGTTGGGATGTGTATAGGAGGCAAACAATCAATGTTTCTCTCTCACCTCAGTAAATTTAATTTAAAAAAGACTCCCAACAACAACAAAAATGTTCTGAGTCAGAAAGCTTCACAGGTGAATTTTATGAAGCATTCAAAGAAGAACTACCACCTATCCTTCTCAAATTATTAAGGGGAGGGAGGACTCCTAAGCTCAATTCATGAGGCCAGAATTATTCTAATACAAAACCACATATGAAAACTACAAAGAAATACAATTATATGCCAACATTCCTGGTGAACATAGATTCAAAAATCCTCAACAAAATATTAGCAAACAGAAATCAGGAATACATTGATAAGATCATACATACACCATCATCAAATGAGGTTCATTCCTAGGATGCAAGATTGGTAGAGTATCTGCAAATCAATTAATGTGATAAGTCACATAAATAAAATGAAGAATAAAAATTATATGATTATATCAATAGATACAAAAAAGCATTTGACAAAATCCAGTACCCATTTATGATTAAAAAAAAAAAAAAAAACTCAGCTGAATGGGAACAAAGGGACCATACCTCAACATATGTCATTCCATATATAACAAACCCACACACAACAGGGGAAAATTTAAAGTGTTTCCCTTAATATCAGAAACAAGACAGGGATGTCCTTTTTGGTGATGTTTATTCAACACAGTATTTGAAATCCTATGGTTGCCAAAGGGGACAGGGCTCAAGAACTAGTGAAAAGGGTGAAGGGATTAAGAAGTACATTGGTAGCTACAAAATAGTCACAGGGATGTCAATACAACATGGGGAATACAGTAAAAAATATTGTAATAACTATGTATGGTGCCAGGTGGGTACTGGAAATGCCAGGGTGAACACTTCCTAAAGTACATGCTTGTCTAACCACTATGCTGTGTACTTGAAAATAACACAAAATAATATTGAATGTAAACTATAATTGAAAAATAAAATGTTTAAGAAGACTAGACTGCAGGTAGTGAGTGCACAATAGAGTATACAGATATAGTATTATAGAGTTCTACACCTGAGGTTTATATGTTATTAACCAATGTTATCCTATAAATTTATTTTTTTAAAAAATACTATCTTGCCCTGGTTGGTATGGCTCAGTTGGTTGGAGTGTTGTCCTGTACACCGAAGGGTCACTGGATCGATTCCCAGTAAGGGTGCATACCCAGGTTGCAGGTTCGACCCTGTAGGGGTGCATACAGGAGGCAACCGTGCAATGTTTCTCTCTTACATCGATGTTTCTCTTTCTCTTTCTCTCTCTCTCTCTCTCTCTCTCTCTCACTCACTCTCTCTCTCTCTCTCTCTCTTTTCCTCTCTCTCTGAAATA